TTTTTTTTTTTTTAACCTATCCTACCTAAGAAGAGTATCTTTTGCTTTGCAGTGGAAGTGCAGATGAAGCAAAGGCATGTCGTTGAATTCCTCCATGCGGAAAGAATGGTACCTATTGACATTCACTGATGTTTGCTGAACATGTGTAGAGCCCAAACAGTGAATGTGAGAACAGTAAGGCTGTGGGTGGTGTTTGTGCAGTGGTGACACTGACCTTGGGCACCTCCACTGGCGCAGGTTACAAGAGTATGTCACATAGACTCTTGTTCATCACTGGTGAAAGTACCTAGTTCATTGTGGTGACTATGTTGAAAAATAGTATCTGATGGTTGAGAGTTTGCTCTATCAAATAGTGTCATTCTGCTCTTTGAATCTGTTGTAGTTTCCATGGAAATAAATAGGAGGCATGGCTCTCAGAGCAAACTATGTCTTTCTGTAAAACAGTTAAGAATAGCAGTGAAGATAAAGTTTCCAGAATGCATTGATCAATGAGTGCAACATATATTAATGACTTTAAAGGGAAATAAACAGAAGCCAATTTGCACTGAATCTGCACTGCAATCTTGGAAAAAACTGTGTGTTAGTTTGTGATTAAAACTATTAACATACCACATACTTCCAAGTGGTTAGTTTGCATTGTGAAGAAATACTAATTAAGGCTAATCAAAAAGATTTACAAACTCGTGTTTTACATGTAGTGATACGTGTATTTCGGTACATAAAAGTCACATGTTTAACAAGAAATTTACTCACTATTCAGTTTCTCGTTACATTTCATGAGCTGAAATCTGTTTTGGTGCAGACAGTATGTAGAACCCATGCCACAGACAGACCACTGGACTCTGAACTACGTAGAACACTGTAATTATTCTGCTCAATTTCCCTTCAGTAGAAAACGTTTTGATGCCTAAGAGGATGGTATGATCCCATAATGAAATATAAAGGAGTTTAATTTTCTTTTGTTGGAACACTGAAAAAAAAAAAATGTTTTAGAAAAATATTATCAGATAAAGCTAAAACGTTTTCCAGTAACATTGCAAGGTAGTAAGAAAATACAAACTAATTGCTACTTCTAAAATCATTGCAGTTTCAGTACACAGCTTCAGCTTAAAGGTGAGTGATATAATCATAATAATGGTACTGTAGGGGCCTGAGGAGGCAAGGGTTGTTGCAGTGACATGGAAAGGACATTAGGAAAGGTTTTCACCTTTGCAAAGCAATGGCTTCAAGTCCATAGGAAATTAGATGTCATTTTTATAATACTTTAGAATGCTTTTTAAATTGTATTTCTGTGAGGATATTACTTTAAAATACTTCTATTACATAAACTTTTTTTTGTCTCAAGTCATTCATTATACTATCTCAAGACTACAGATTTGTGTCAACATTTCATAAATATAGTGAAATAACATTTCTGATAGCTGTAGCATGTTAGCAGAAAGCCTTACAGTTAGTGTAGTATAAGTATAAAAATTGTACATTTTACTACTTTCTGGGGGCTTTCTTTTAGTAAATTGCCTGGATAAACCTGTAGCTTTGCCAGAACTTAAGAAACTGTATTAATTCTGAGAGCCATTGTCCTAAATATTATTACAATTTCTTAATATTCTAGTAAAATTTAGCTATCCCCTTCCGGAGAAGCAAACTTTAGTATTTGGATTTTCTCATTTGTTGGACAGTTTTGTTGACTGCTGGTGAAATAAGCTCACAACAGTGAGTTTTTCGATCCTGCAAAGATAGAGTTGGGATTCAGTTTATCATTCAGAAGTGCAAAAATCTACAGGAAAAAAAAAAAAAAAAGCCTACTTCTTTCTATTTTTTCTTTTCTTTTTTAAATTTTTTTTACTTTTTTGTACATTTGAGATGAAATATATTAATGAACTGGAAGGTTCATATTTTACTCTGATAGCCTCAGGCAAATACAAGGGCTGCTCCAAAATTAATAACTCCTTTCTGTCTATTATAGTTCCCATGGAGCTAAATTGTAGATACTGCTTAAAGGATGACCTACGTATGTTTTTTGTTTTAATCCTGCTGTCTGTCATGTA